AGATCAAACAACAACTCAGATGACAAGAAAATAAGAATATGTGTATAACACTCATGAATTGAAGTACAAGGCTCAAAGCTCACATTATATGGTTATACAAGTCTAATTCATGCTTGATACAATTCTTTGGATCATGCAAGTCCTTCAATTGGAGAATTATGAAACAAATGGCAAGTGCATAGAGGGTTACAAACATATCATGCTAGAACGTTGCCATTTAGTGAAAAATAATATTATTATTTTTTTTTAGCATTTTCAATCAAGTCATGCAAACATTCATCACAATCTCATCATATGTGTCTAGAAAATGACTTGAAAACAAAATGACTCAATACTGAAAAGAAAACAAGAATTTAACTGAAACGAAAATGACTTGCTACCCCTTCCCTAACTTAGAAATAAACATTGTCCTCAATGTTAAAAATTTAGGCATCAGCAGTGTTATAACTAGAAAGGAAAGGGATTAAAGCAATTAAATAAAAGAACAAACAAGAATTAAAACTACAACACAGTTGCAAAAATTAAAAAGAAACAAAACAAAACAAAAACCAAATAAAACAGGAAGCCCTAACAATAGTCCTACGCAAGCGGAAATCCAACCCATTGGAACGCCCAAACCAACTGAAAACCCAACCAAAACAAAAGCCCAAACGCTTTTTTGTTTGTTTGTTTGTTTGTTTTTTTTTTTTTGTGTTTTTAAAATTCAAAGAAACGTGATCAGAAGCAAAAGGAGCTAGATTTCTAAAAAGGAAGAATGTGGGCCCTGATGTCTCGGCCCTTGGTAAGTCAAGGGCAAACAAAGCAAGAGACGCGTTGATATGCAAAGACCCCTCGCACATCCCTAAGCCAGAATTATTGGCTTCTTAGGAAGGCATGACGACTTTTTATTTTTTTAAAGTGTTGAAAGGTAGAATTGCAATTAAAATGGTTGGGGAATGGGTGAGGTGACAAAAGGGGATAGGCCGTAAGGGCCGCGCGAAACTCAGAAGCGCAATGGCTAGGGTTAAGCAAAAACTACGTCTATAAAAGGCAAAGAGAAGGGGGGAAAAACACAAACTCAGAAACACACAAAAACAAACAAAAGAAAGAAGAAAAAAGTGAGAAATCAAATGGCATCTTCTTTCCCATTTTCGTTGGATCTCAACCCAGCTCTACTGACTCAGACATGGGGTCAAGGAGCAGCACCAGTATGGATGCCCTACTTTGCATCTTCACAAGGAACTGTGAATGTAAACGACTCAATACTCCTAGACAAAGATGTCGTTGTTGGAGTTGCGAGAAATTTAGTGACTCCTAGAGATATACGTGTGCTTGGGGCAAGGGATGACAACCGGGTCGTGAGTGATGCCCTGGCAATGAGCATGCAGAGTACAACATGTATTGCAAGTGTGGGTTATCGCCTAATTGCGAAATCCAATGAGGTGGAGGTGCTTAAGGCTCAGTTGGCGGCAAAGCGGAGTGTGGTTGAGGAATGTCAGAGTATTATAAAAAGCTTGAAATGGGAGAGGTCAAGGACGGTTGAGGTGAATCGACATCAACTTGAAGTTTTACGGGAAGAGAATAAGAACCTATCAAAGATGGTAGATTTTTACTCTCAAGACATGCGAAAGCAGCTGGAGGCCCTAGATCGACTGGTTAACGCAAGCAACTAGATTGTGACAGGAGTTGTGCTCAAGCTAAGAGTGCGATCTTTAGGAGCTCAAGTGATGGGCCCCAAGAGGTTGTGCGTGAAAAACTAGAAGAGGACATGTAGAGGGCCAAACTAAAAGCTCCTATAGTTGAGACACAGAGCATCGTGAAGAAATGATTTCTGTTGTATTATTAGTGTGTGTGTGTGTGTGTGTGTGTGTCTTTTTGTTTGTTTGTTTGTTTGTTGTTTTTTTTTCCTTTAACTGGGAAATAAAAGAATAAAGTTTGCAAAAGAAAAAGAAAATACCCTTCCCAACTAGAAAGGACATTCAAAAACACAATGCACCAGAAAACAGAGAGGAAAAAAAAGTAAAGTGGAAGTAGAAATGCTTCCCTTTAAATAGACGTGACCGTAAATTGCGCGGGAAGTGAAGGGATCCAAGAGAAAAGGGCAATGATAATAACACAATAACTCTATTATTTTCTTTACACTGCTCTCTCTATGGATACGACACTCGAACTTCCGAGCTACACTGCTATACGACACCGTCACTTGAGTTTTGCAAAGTGATACAAATCAATTGGCGCCGTTGTCGGGGAGCAGCTTGTCAAAGAGTACAGAGATCCCCTTGGTCGGAGGTTTGCTGGTTATGTGAAATTCTTCACATCTTGTACACTATTTCCAAACTTATCCCATTATTAATATATATTTTTGTTTATTTTTTTTCCTTTATGCGACCTAGAGATCATCTAGGAAGATTTGTTAAAAAGATTGAAATTGTTAATTCTACTTCAACTTCTTTAACTGAAACATTTGACCAATCTGAAAGCATGGTAGAAATTCTGAATAATGAACGAGAGGTTAATGCTTAAATTGTGAATAATGAAATAAGAGAAGAAGTAGTTGCACCTAGAACTTTAGAGACATTATTGCATCTTATTCGTGCACCAAATCCTTCATGCATCATGTTTCCACCTAACATGCCAAATTATGATTTTAAACCTGGAATGATTCAATTGCTACCAATTTTTCATGGTATGGAAGTGAAAACCCTTATGTGCATGTTGGGAATTTGAAGAGTCTATTGGCACTTTTTACAATGGTCAACTTGATAGGCTTAATTTCATAAGGTTAAAGTTTTTTCCTTTTTCCTTAAAAGAGAAAGCTAAAAGTTGGTTATATTCATTAAGGGCTAGGTCCATAGGTTATTGGGCAGAGATGACCCAAGCATTTTTTAACAAATATTTTCCTAATAACAGGACAATTGCTCTTAAGAAAAAAATCTCCAATTTCTCTCAGAAGGAAAATAAAACTTTATATCAAACTTGGGAAAATTTTAAAGAGCTTTTGAATTTGTGCCCACGCCATGGCTTTGAAAACTGGCGTCTTGCTAGCTATATCTATGGGGACTTCTCCCGTGTGATTGCCAATTTGTTTAGTCTATGTGTAATGGAAATTTTATGCAAAAAGACCTTGATGATGTCCTAGAATTTTTGGATGAAATTGCTGAAAAAGCCCATCAATGGATTGCTCCCAGTCTAGTTGAAACCACTGATCGGTCAAGAATTGCCACATCGTCTACTAATAAAGGAATTTATAAATTAAAAGAAGAAGATGATTGGAAATTAAAATTTGAGGTTTTGACTAAAGAGATAGCCGCTTTAAAAATTGAAAAATCAAATTTACCTCAACCTGTTTATCAAGCTGATGTTAATCAAGTATGTGATTCTTGTTATGAAATTGGTCATACTTGTTTAAAATTGCCCAATTATGAGGAGCGTTGTGCTGCTATTGGAAACTTCAAACAACAGTATTCTCCTTTTTTCAACACTTATAATCCAGCAACAAGGAATCATCCAAGCTTTCGTTTGAGCAATGAGTCACAACCTCAGGTAAGTGACATGAATTCTTCCAATAATCAGTTTCAGGCACCTAATGCATTCACATTTAAGCATGAACAACATAAGCAAAATCAAAGGTATGATACTTTGCTTGGTCAATTGGTTGAAGAGTCAAATCTCCAAGTTGACTAACTTTTTGGCTATTAATGAAAAAGGAAAATTTCCTGCCAACACTCAACCAAATCCAAAAAGGGCTAATTCTTGTGAATCTTCACTCGAGCATGTAAAGTCTGTTATTACTCTTAGAAGTGGTAAAATAATTAACACACCAAGCTTAATAAAATCTACGAGTAATGATAAACTTAACATGTCCAACTTGAATGAATCAAATGAATATCATTTTCATGCTCCTTTTCCCCAAGCTTTAAATCCTCCAAAGAAATTGAGTCCAAATTTCTGAAATTTTAGATGTCTTTAAAGAGGTCAAAGTGAATATTCCTTTGTTAGCTGCTATTAAACAGATTCCATCCTATGCTAAATTTTTTAACTGAACATGTGAGTGCATTGTTACAATATAAAATTCCTCCAAAATATAAAGACCCTGGAAGTCCTACTCTTTCGTGTGTAATTGGAAATAATTTTATTGATCGTGCATTACTTGATTTGGGCTCCATTGTAAATTTATTGCCTTATTCAGTGTACCTGCAGCTAGGTCCTGGTGAGCTTAAACCTGATCAATCAGTAAGGACACCGCGAGGGATTATTGAAGATGTGTTGGTTTAAGTGGACAAATTTTATTATCTTGTTGATTTTATTGTTTTTGATAATTAAATTCCTGTGATTTTAGGACGTCCTTTCTTGGCTACGTGTGATGCTAACATTAATTGCAGAAGTGGAGTCATGAAACTTTGTTTTGGAAATATGACTATGAGGAAAGTTAATGTTTATAAACAGTCATCTGGGGAGGAAGATGAACCTGAATCTGTGAATTCTATCTCAACTTTATCGCATGATCAATTTGCGAAAACTAGTTCAGAAAAGTTTCAAATTAATTCTAATGGTTCTAATTTAACAAGAAATTCACAAATGACTGAACTTGATTCTTTACCTTTTTCATGAAACTTAATTTATTAAGATGAATTAAAGGGTGCATTACTCGGATATTTCGGAGCTTATTTTGTATTAGGGTTGCATTTTCCATGGTTATTAGCATTTTCAGAGGACCATCCTACCACATAAAGTTCTTAGATGACCAGGGTGGAAGAAAGTTGACAAATGTCATAGCAGTAGAATAGATGCCGTTACTTCTTTCGGCCCCTAAAGATTTACAATTAAGACTTTCCAGCATTACTACTCTTATGTAGATAATACAAATTCCTAGCATAATGACGATTTTTGTACCATATCCGCCAAGACCAATCTGACAGCCATTAAAACAAAAAAACAAAACCTGAAATCAACAGATCAACACCAAGAATGTGAGTCCTAACACAACACAATTCTGAAGGTGATCAGGGTACGAAACTCAAAGTAGTAAATTTCGATGCTTCTTTTAGGTCTTACTAGAACTTCCTTGCACCCAATCCGAAAAATAAAATTAAAAAAAAAAAAAAAACATTGTAGCATTCGAGTTTGAAGCCCATAGGAACATATTGTAACATAACACACTAAATTTCTATTTGGCAATTGAAATGACAGACCACTATATATTCTTTTCCTGTATCTACTTACATATATGGATAGAGAAGAGAAGGTACAATTACAAACGAAGAAATTAACTCTGCTGCAGGCCTTTGCTACTACTTGGGTTCAATCTTCGCCGAAACTGCGTATCCGCCACTGTAATCAAAGGCACCAGTGCTGTCATTCACTTCCTTTTTCGGCAAGCCATCGTTGTACGGATGCTTAGGAGCTCCTTTTGATGCTGCAAATTCTGTGGCTGATGAAGATGCTGATGTTGAGTTTGTGTTCATGCCATCATTCTGCAGAATGGTTTCAATAGCCTTCACAAGCTCACTCATTGTGGGTCGGTCTGCAGCTGATTCTTCAACGCATTGCAGGGCCAGCTCCAGGAACCTCCCAAACCCAGTAAGAGTTCCAGAGTTTTGAATGCTTCGATCCATTAACTCCCTCAAACCATAGTGTTCTTCATCATTCTTGTCCATCATCAATCGTACCTCACGGACGATGTATTTTCCCTTCTCAATAGGCTGCCTAGCCGTTATCAATTCAAGCATCACCACTCCAAAGCTGTATACATCACTCTTCTCAGTTAACTGATGAGTCGTGTAGTATTCAGGATCAAGATATCCCTGCAAGAACAAAACAGAAACTTAAGAGTAAAAACTCAAGAATGTGTCAATGGGATGAAATATGTTGAAATGCTAATAACGTAAACCTTACCGGTGTGCCTTTGACCTGACTTGAGACATGCCCTTTTCCACTGTCAGCTACCAGCTTGGACAAGCCGAAATCTGCAACCTTCGCGGTTAAATGTTCATCTAATAGAATGTTGGCGGACTTCACATCTCTGTGAATTATAGGAGGATTTGCAAGCTCATGTAGGTAAGCTAGTCCTCTTGCCGAGCCAAGAGTGATGCGGAGTCTCCTCTTCCAATCAAGATGAATACCAGATCTCCCTGCAATTCATATTTAAGCAAAGGTGAAGTTGGTCACTGTGTCTATTGCAAACAAGTTATCTCTATGCAATATGAAATAGCTGAGAGTAAAATCTTTGAACTAACCTGACAAGCTTTCCCTGAGTGTTCCATTAGGCATAAACTCATAGACCAGCATCTGTTCTCCTTGTTCAAAACAAAATCCCAAAAGGCCAACAACATTTTTGTGATGAACTCGCGAGAGCAACTCGATTTCAGTCTTGAACTCAAGGCCACCCTGCATTGATCCTTGCTGAGCTCTTTTGATTGCCACCATTTGTCCATCAGAAAGCATGCCCCTGTAAACCTATGGACAACCAAAAAACATCCTTTAACTTGAAGCAGAATTTCATAGATGTTACTGAAATACTTGAATTAATATACCTTCCCGTATCCACCAGATCCTATCTCATTACTGTCAGAGAAATTATTTGTGCATTTCTTAAGCTCATCAAAAGAAAAACATCTTGCTCCCTTTAACTGTGGTGCACCACCACTATCTTTTCCGCTTGGTGCCCAAGAAGCTAGAAGATAGAGAAAAGGAGTGATATAAGCAAACCAACTTCTAATGTCAATGACAGAATTTCAATGTATCCAATCATAAACAACAAGAATAATTAATTACCAAAAGGTCGGCTTAATCCAATGGCTCTTTCTGCACGTTTCTTTTGCCTAATGGCACATATTCCCACTACCACGAGGCCCAGTACAAGAGCCACACAACTAACTGATATCCCAATAATAACATCAGTGCTCATAGAACTTTTATTCCCACCTGAAACAATTTTGAGTTTTTATTGTCAGTTTAATCAATCTTCTAATGCAGGGAAATGGCATACGAAGTAACGATGCGATTTAAATTACCTGGGAAAGTATAAGGA